CTTACAATAATTATAGTTTCTGCCAGACAAGACTTAATTTAACTTAGTAAACTGTTGCTCTTCATAAGCTCAGTTCTTGATTCTAAACCTTGCGACAATACCCGTATACACTAGATCTATTGGGATTCGGAGATATAAGGGTAAGATTAGGATTGGTTTTAGACTAGGAAGTTGCACGAATCTATCCGGTCGAAAAAAAAGATTACATTATGAGAAAGCAACCCTGGACGCAAGCTCACGATTCTTATTTCTCGACCTGAGCTCAACTTGTGTCCCAGGAGAATGTTGCTGAAGCAGCTTTCCCACTTGTTTGATAATTTTTGTTGAAAAAAATACAGCTTGGTTTTGTAAATTCCACTCCGTTTCAGGACGTTATGACAAGGCGTAGAATATTGGGTGATATATCACTTTTGGTGGCAGATTCAAGTTTATTAGCTGGGTCAATCTTTAGTATACTTCGAACAGCATATATATTTTAAAACAAAGCCAAATTTTTGACAAATTAAACGTAAATTTTGAACTTTTTAATAAAATGTCATTGGCCTGTACAATTGATTGAAGTTGAAATGACATTTTTTATGCTTTATAATTCTCAATTTATTACTTGCCACACCAATAAGAACATCATCGAATTTCGAAACCGTTTGGTTAGATCTCTCTAACGCTTTCACTACACTATGCATACGTGGATTTTCTGCACTTTGCGCAGATGAACAACTCTTTGCCATTTCTTTGACAGGCATAGTTACCAAGATCCGAAAATAAAAAAACTAAGAAAAATGCTTTTGCGAAGAAAAAAAATTGAAAAAATAATTGAAATTGAATTCACTAACGAGGTGCAGATATAATGTAAAATAATTTCGCAGAGCAAAAGGAACGAGCAGCAAAGGGAGATGAAACTTCGAGCAGCAAAGGGAGATGACATTTCGATTCTGGAATGGCAAAATCTATTGGTTTTCCGCAGTAGTCACAAACCTCACAGAAAAAAAGTATGGACTCAAGGTACCCATTGATTGAGAACAATGGCCAACTCGATATTAAACTAAAAAATACTAATCCTGAACAATTGAATCTTCACACAGAGGAGTCAATACCTATCTCACTATTCGTTGAATAGTTGAGGATGCACGTAATCTCGTTCTACTCGACGGATTCGACTCGTCACCATGTTATTCTGCAATCTTGACTCAATCTCTTCACACAAGTTACTGATTCTCTTCTCTCTTCACTCCTTCACTACTTCACAAAATCTACTCAAAGAACGAATAAAGAAACTTCTCCATCCATCCTTCATTAGAAAAAACTTAAAACTTTTAGAAGTAATGACCCGTCAAACTCTGAAGCAAACGTAAAAAAATCTGGATAGCAAGAAATAATGTTTTTTGATTGGAAAATCCAACTAGAAAAAGTACAAATAACGCGTAATTTGAAAGATGACACTATACTTTAATAATGATTTTGCTGGCATTGCAAGAACATTTAAGGATATTGCGCAACCACCACCCGTACAAAGGCAGCCATATTTTGGTTTCCTGAAGAACATGTACCACATTCCAATTTGCAAAAAATAACGCTAGGATGATTAAGTTTCACAAAAAAAATCATTGAATACATACCTTTCGAACAGCTCGAAAACGATCAAACCCAAATACATATAAATGCATGCAAAGAATAGAAAACAAAATAACACGCTTTCAAAATTACACGGAAACAGAATTAGCATGCATTAACCCAAACCCTTTTTTTCGCACACAAAATTCGGAAATACTTGTTTAATACGAGAAAAGTTTTGGCATGAACACTCATGATTGCGATTGCAACTCCAAACCAGGACGACAAATCTTACATCCCAGTTACCTTATACAAAAACAGTGGAAACATTGGAGGAAAAATCTTGCCAGAAAATTGTGACAGTACCCGATTACAAGGTTTACCACCAAAGAATAACAAATATTTTGACATAATTCACCACGACTTTCATTTCGATACGACACTCATTGACTACACGATTGGCAGAAAATTTCCAGAAATGTCGCTTTCCGAAATGGACACACTGCTTCATATATTAGAAGAAACACAAATACTACAATCTCTCGCTTTAGCAGTGCTTAAAATACCTAACGCAGGAAACCTCGTGTCAAGTAACTGCTTTAACTTCATGGATTTTGACGGAAACATTCTTTGGTATTATACTTGCACTAAATAAATTTCGCCATTGTATGTTTTTGAAAATAGAAGCTGCAATCAATGCATGCCTAATTTTTATGAAAAAAAGTACGTTTCGTGGACACCCCATAAAACTACCAATTTCAAATCATAACTTTACTCACCATAAGAACGAGTGTGTTTCATCATTTCTTTTCAAATTTAACCAGTCAGTTCTCTGAAAATATAAAAGAAAAAACTGAAATAAGAACTCAAAACTCATTTAAATATTTAGGTGAAAAAAAATCAATAATCAGCAATGAAATATTAAAAATATCAGCAATTAAATACAGTACGAAATATTAAATTGATAATGAGGAATGAATCACGATCACTAATCGTTTTATGCAAGCTCATTTTTATAGATTTTGACTTTATATTTGACTCGCCCACTTTTTTTACGCTCTCTTTCCACACAAGTTGACTAACCCGCCACTGTAGAATTGTTTTAGAAACGATCTTCTAGTTGACAAACTAACTGATTACAACTGTAACTTAGTTTCAAGGGTTTCAAAACTTTACCTTAAGCCAGTTAGAAGGAATTACAGCTAAGCTTGAACTAACCAATTAGCTTACTGACACCACAAAACCAACCGCATGTATGACAAAGTCTCCTGGTACCCGAACCAGATTAAACCGAGATTGAAACTGGTTAAATTATTTTTTTAAACTCCAATGCGAAGTTTTTTGAGACCACTTAAAACATACAAATACTGAAAAAACTACACGAACCAAAACAATCCGCTTTTGAAAAAAAAGACACAACCAAAGAACAAAAGCAAAAAACACCTGGTAAAAAAGAACAAAAAATAAAAACGCGAAAGTGCTCAAAAAAACGGTGAAAAAATACTCCTCCAGCCGGTTTAACCCACCAGTATAGAACGTCCTGAGCATGTTCTATAGCCGGCCTCATCCAACCTTCTACACGACGCTTATGACACATTGACTTTTTTCTTGAGAGCAGCGTTAGAGTGAGCAACTCTTGAAAATAAAAAAACTAAGAAAAATGCTTTTGCGAAGAAAAAAAATTGAAAAAATAATTGAAATTGAATTCACTAACGAGGTGCAGATATAATGTAAAATAATTTCGCAGAGCAAAAGGAACGAGCAGCAAAGGGAGATGAAACTTCGAGCAGCAAAGGGAGATGACATTTCGATTCTGGAATGGCAAAATCTATTGGTTTTCCGCAGTAGTCACAAACCTCACAGAAAAAAAGTATGGACTCAAGGTACCCATTGATTGAGAACAATGGCCAACTCGATATTAAACTCAAAAATACTAATCCTGAACAATTGAATCTTCACACAGAGGAGTCAATACCTATCTCACTATTCGTTGAATAGTTGAGGATGCACGTAATCTCGTTCTACTCGACGGATTCGACTCGTCACCATGTTATTCTGCAATCTTGACTCAATCTCTTCACACAAGTTACTGATTCTCTTCTCTCTTCACTCCTTCACTACTTCACAAAATCTACTCAAAGAACGAATAAAGAAACTTCTCCATCCATCCTTCATAAGAAAAAACTTAAAACTTTTAAATTTTCCAAACCCCAGATGGGTGGAACCAGCTCAAAACAAGTGTTTGTAGTATCTTATTATAATCTTGATGATTATCTCTGTAAAATACTTAAATCTAACCAATCATTATCCATGACTAAAACTTACAATAATTATAGTTTCTGCCAGATAAGACTTAATTTAACTTAGTAAACTGTTGCTCTTCATAAGCTCAGTTCTTGATTCTAAACCTTGCGACAATACCAGTATACACTAGATCTATTGGGATTCGGAGATATAAGGGTAAGATTAGGATTGGTTTTAGACTAGGAAGTTGCACGAATCTATCCGGTCGAAAAAAAAGATTACATTATGAGAAAGCAACCCTGGACGCAAGCTCACGATTCTTATTTCTCGACCTGAGCTCAACTTGTGTCCCAGGAGAATGTTGCTGAAGCAGCTTTCCCACTTGTTTGATAATTTTTGTTGAAAAAAATACAGCTTGGTTTTGTAAATTCCACTCCGTTTCAGGACGTTATGACAAGGCGTAGAATATTGGGTGATATATCACTTTTGGTGGCAGATTCAAGTTTATTAGCTGGGTCAATCTTTAGTATACTTCGAACAGCATATATATTTTAAAACAAAGCCAAATTTTTGACAAATTAAACGTAAATTTTGAACTTTTTAATAAAATGTCATTGGCCTGTACAATTGATTGAAGTTGAAATGACATTTTTTATGCTTTATAATTCTCAATTTATTACTTGCCACACCAATAAGAACATCATCGAATTTCGAAACCGTTTGGTTAGATCTCTCTAACGCTTTCACTACACTATGCATACGTGGATTTTCTGCACTTTGCGCAGATGAACAACTCTTTGCCATTTCTTTGACAGGCATAGTTACCAAGATCCGAATACAGGGGAGGATTTGCTGCCGACCCTTTGATACTTATTCAGAAATCCATTTATGGCCGACCGACCCGAAAATTTTTCTAAAGGCGCCTTTGGCGCCAATATATACTAACTTTGAGCTATTTTTTTGTCAAAATTTTTCAAAAAGTGCCCAAAAACGGCTTTTTTGACTGTTTTTTCAAAAATTTGCCTGCGGCGCAGAAAATTTTGCCAATATAGGGGCAAAACAGTGCTTGGAGAGAGCTCGAAAAATCAATTTGGTCGACCTAAAAAAAAGGTCGTCAAAATTTTGGAAAATTTTTTGAAAATCCGCCGCCCCCCTCGAGAAAGTCCTAGATCCACCCCTGTCCGAATATATCACATTTATTTTAGCTGAAGTTGCAGAAACAGATTATCTGACACATGCTGAGGAAAATTCGGGCGATTATATTGGAGACTACGAAACTGGGAGTGGAAGCAGTTCATATGCGCCGTCAAACAACGAAGAAGAAAACGAAAGCAAAATCAACCAGTGGCTTTTGGTTGCTTGCTGCATTGGAGTCACTCTCAGTGTAGTAGTCATCCTTATTCTCGTCGAGAGAAAAATCAAAGCGTCTAGGTCAGATTATAGCTAACTCTAAAAATTTGCAGCACTAATATTATTTTTTTTACATATCAAAAGTTTTCAATTTGATGTTAAGCGAAACAACTATCAACAAAGAATTGGTTGCAAGTTGTGAGTATCTGTTCCAGATATCTGTAAAACAATCTATCCTGTATTACACGCAGAGATAAATCTTTTAACTTCGGAAAGAGTAATCAACGCTTAAGTTAACAGCAGCAAAATATAACTTCGAGTGAAATAAAGATAGCAATAAATGAATATGCGAACGAAATAAAATTAGGGGCAGGGGCACTTTAATCATAACATCCCAATTTAATCGAGAGCTATGAGCGAGTTACTATTTTTATCCAGCTCATAATTCCGTTTTGCCAGCGAAGATAACCAAGTGGACCAAAAGTTTTGATAGGGCAGCGTCGCTCTACAAGAAGATAATAAAATTTGAAAATTGAACGCAGCTTTCTTAGTCTCCTGAAAGATGCCACTAGAAAGGCCAAAAATCCGTCCGGATAATTTCAACACAAGTCGAACATCATATTCGAAGCAAAGTTCCGGCACTGGCTATTTTTTTTAATAGTTTTTTTTAGAATCCTAGCAAAATTCCAAATCATAAAATGAGCAAGTTAATCAACCCAAAAAAATATATCCGCCAGTGTTTTACAATTAGCAAAACCTATACTATGATTGTTTACCATAATTTTTGCGTACGACACAAAGCATTACGTTTTTGAAATATACTAACATGGTTTTGTTGTCTTGAAAAAAGGCCTGAAAATACAGTTGATATGGGTTCGAATCCAGCTTAGGAAAAAAACGTAAGCAGCATTCATTCGTGTGATGAGCAAATACTTTTATCATAACAATTTTTTGGTGTTTAGCGTCTCGTATTGTTTTCAACAGGCCAAATTGCATGCATCAATGCTTTTTGGAACGTATTAATTTGCCACTTACACGTGCTATCAGAACGCGAGATATCGCGAATTTATTTATTCAAATTAACCAAATCAGCAATTTTCAAACCCTCTTAACTTAACAAAAACTAAGCACATTTAAAATATGTTTTTTTTCTTACATTTGAGCTCAAGCCAGCAGTATATTTTGTGAGATATTAAAAAGTACTGTTAAAAACGCAGTGTTAAAAAGTCAAAAGTTGATAAAACGAAAAAATAATTAAACTTTAGATATTTTGAACTTTCTTCGGAAGTCGGAATAGTAACTCGAAATTCTCAAGTAAGCGTGGTTTTCAAATTAACCAATGAATTAATTTTTTGATGATTTTGAGATACAAATTGCGTTGAGACAAAAAAATCTCACTGACCGCTTGTCAACTTATTTAGCTTAAATTTTCGATAGCTGCGAAATTTTCAAGACGAGAAAATATTAGTCTCATGCTGAGCTTACCAATCGAACAGTTAAATTCTGTTTTTTTTTCCTCTCACCCCCGAAAAATCAACAAAAAGATCAGAGAGTTTGGAAACTGAAACCAGTCTTCTTTAGTTTAATATCTGAAAGTGTTGCTCTAGAGTGGTAAAAAAAATTTTCGAATTTTTTCGACCCACAAAGTGAACATACTTTTCGAAACAAAGGACCAGCATTGCGCATTTGCTTGACAAAGTTTTAGACTCCTGATAAAGTTCCGCATCAAAAAACGAGTAAGCTGATCAGTCCAAAAAAAGATCTCTGCCAGTGTGTTGCAGTAAGCAAAAACCTATAGTAGAAATGTTTACCTCAGTAAGTTTTTAACGCACGATAGAAAAGGTTGTTCCAAAATGTACAATCACTGGGTTAGCTGATTTGGAAGAATAAAAACCGGCATGAAAACAAAAGTTAATTTGGGTTCGCATCTTACGTAGAGAGACAAACCCAGCGAGATTCGTCGGTATGATGCGCAAATACTATTATCAGTCAAGTTTATGTTTTTTTTTTCATTTTCACCACATGCTGATACCGGAAGTTGGTATTTAAAAACCTTTATAACTAAAGTTATGATTTTTGAATTTTCTCTTTTTTCAGTACCGTATCAAGAAACGTTGACGAAACGAGACTTCTTGTAAATCAGAGCGAACTGATGAACGTTGTGACTGCACTTAGAGGCCAATTTCAAGGTGCTTACCTGAAAAAAAAAATTATTGAAAATTAATAAATATATATTATTTTTCCCTCATAAGGTATCATAAAATTTTAAAGGGTGTGTTTTTCCCCATAAAATTTCAAAGGGTGACTTGAGGGTCTCTTTTGTTTTAATCGAACCTATTATTTTGCCTCTATTCAATTTGGAACGCATTTATTTGCACGTTATTTAATGCCGCTATATATTGCGCGTTAATCATCCCATAAAAATCAATCGAAGCGTAAACATTCAGCATTTTCTTCGAAATTCGGAAAAATGTACATCAAAATTCTCAAGTCAGCTTGTTTTTTCATCAAAAAGCAACTATTTGATTGTTATAAATCATGGCTTTTATCCAATGATTTGTTTGATTTGTTTTTTTTTCTGATTTTAAGTTAGTGATTGCATTTAGACAGTCAAAGCGACCGGCCAATTGTCCCTTTGATTGGCAGATTTTGTCTTTATCTGAAACATTTGCCAAGACATTGAAGCCGATAAAAAAGTATATCTTATGCTAAGCTTGCAGCTCGATTGGCTGTTTTTTTTAATTATTACCCCGCCCTCCCTTTCTTCTTCACTTCACATGAGCATCAATTTTAATGGTGTAACGAGGAGTTTTCTAAGGTTAAGTATCGAGACCAAATAATTTTGTCATCCTCTAATTAGTTTGTTCTTGTTTGGGAAATTAGAGCAAAAACTTACTGGCAAAAGGTAGCAGTTGGGCTGTATAGCAGTATTTTTATTGTGTTTGTTCATCAAGATGCGTGAACATTAATTCTTTAAGAAGTATGAATAAGATATGTCTAGAATAAACCTTTCCCTTGTAAGAGAAATCTAACTGTTTTTTTTTTCAAAACCGAAATATTTCTACGTTTTCTATAGCTGCAAATTCCATTTATAAGACAAAACTTGCTAATAATTAATCGAAATTGACCAATAAGACGATGTCAGGGGAAAAAAGGATAATATCGTTCAGTAGGTTAAGCAGGTATGCGCAAACTTATCCCATACCACTTATGTTCGAGTTTTTTCGCCCAAAATTTATTAAAGTACGGAATATTTACGCTTGCATAACGATTGTACTTTTTGGTGCGTGTAAACTCCTGGAAATCAGAGTCAAATTCTTGAATTTGTTAAAACTTTGTTTGCAACCACAGGAAACAAAACAGCCAAAAAGAGGTCAAAGACTGCTCCCTGGTTGCAAATTCCACATAAAATTCTCAAAAGGTACAGTTTGGCTTTGTCACGAGGAGTGTTTTTTATTCATCCCAGTTTCCGGGTCGAGGTTGGGGACTCATGTTGCTACCAATGCGACTCATAATGGGTTTATTGTGTCTTTGCGCGACCCAAATAATTGCGCGACTTTGCGCGACCCAAAACAGATATGTTGCGACTTTGCGCGACCCAAATTAGGTATATTTTTACCATTGCGACTCAAAGTGGGTATATTGTGATTTTGCACAACCCAAATGAGGTATGTTGTAACCTTGCGGGACCCAAATTGGGTATGTTGCGACTTTGCGCGACCCAAATCTTGTAAATCAGAGCGAACTGATGAACGTTGTGACTGCACTTAGAGGCCAATTTCAAGGTGCTTACCTGAAAAAAAAAATTATTGAAAATTAATAAATATATATTATTTTTCCCTCATAAGGTATCATAAAATTTTAAAGGGTGTGTTTTTCCCCATAAAATTTCAAAGGGTGACTTGAGGGTCTCTTTTGTTTTAATCGAACCTATTATTTTGCCTCTATTCAATTTGGAACGCATTTATTTGCACGTTATTTAATGCCGCTATATATTGCGCGTTAATCATCCCATAAAAATCAATCGAAGCGTAAACATTCAGCATTTTCTTCGAAATTCGGAAAAATGTACATCAAAATTCTCAAGTCAGCTTGTTTTTTCATCAAAAAGCAACTATTTGATTGTTATAAATCATGGCTTTTATCCAATGATTTGTTTGATTTGTTTTTTTTTTTCTGATTTTAAGTTAGTGATTGCATTTAGACAGTCAAAGCGACCGGCCAATTGTCCTTTTGATTGGCAGATTTTGTCTTTATCTGAAACATTTGCCAAGACATTGAAGCCGATAAAAAAGTATATCTTATGCTAAGCTTGCAGCTCGATTGGCTGTTTTTTTTATTATTACCCCGCCGTTTATTATCGTTCAGTAGGTTAAGCAGGTATGCGCAAACTTATCCCATACCACTTATGTTCGAGTTTTTTCGCCCAAAATTTATTAAAGTACGGAATATTTACGCTTGCATAACGATTGTACTTTTTGGTGCGTGTAAACTCCTGGAAATCAGAGTCGAATTCTTGAATTTGTTAAAACTTTGTTTGCAACCACAGGAAACAAAACAGCCAAAAAGAGGTCAAAGACTGCTCCCTGGTTGCAAATTCCACATAAAATTCTCAAAAGGTACAGTTTGGCTTTGTCACGAGGAGTGTTTTTTATTCATCCCAGTTTCCGGGTCGAGGTTGGGGACTCATGTTGCTACCAATGCGACTCATAATGGGTTTGTTGTGTCTTTGCGCGACCCAAATAATTGCGCGACTTTGCGCGACCCAAAACAGATATGTTGCGACTTTGCGCGACCCAAATTAGGTATATTTTTACCATTGCGACTCAAAGTGGGTATATTGTGATTTTGCACAACCCAAATGAGGTATGTTGTAACCTTGCGGGACCCAAATTGGGTATGTTGCGACTTTGCGCGACCCAAATTAGGTATGTTGCAACTTTGCGCGACTCACAATAGGTATATTGCGAAATTCCGCGACCCAAATTAGGCATGCTGCGACTTTGTGCGACTCAGGCCTCTTGTGGGATGATGGAATTTTTGTCGCGGAAAATCTATTCCGGCGACCCATTTCGATCGCA